GGGGTGTCTGAGTAGGATTGGGATGTTTCTGTAGGATTGGGCTGTCCCTGTAGGGTTAGAATGTCCCTGTAGGATTGGGGTGTTCTACAGGATTGGGATGTCCTGCAGGATGGGGATGTGCCTGTATGATTGGGCTGTTCTTGTGCCGTTGGGATGTCCCTGTAGGGTTAGAATGCCCCTGTAGGATTGGCGTGTTCTACAGGATTGGGATGACCTGCGGGGTTGGGGTGTCCATGTAAGACTGGGGTGTCTCTGCAGGGTTAGAATGCCCCTGTAGGATTGGGGTATCCTACAGGATTGGGATGTCCTCCAGGGTTGGGGTATCTGTAGAACTGGGATGTCCTGTGTGGTTGGGGCATCCTGTAGGCTTGTGATGTCCTGCAGGGTTAGAATGTCCCTGTAGGGTTGAAGTATCCCTGTAGAATTGGGATGTCTTGTTGGGCTGGGATGTCCTGGTGTGGTATCCCTGAAGGACTGGGATGTCCCATAGGGTTGGGATGTCTCTGTAGGTTTGAGATGTCCTGTGGGGTTGCAGTGACACAGGACTGGGGTGTCCCTGCAGGGTTAGAATGTCCATATAGGATTGGTGTGTTCCTGGAGTGCTGGGATGTTCCTGCAGACTTGGAATGCCCCTGTAGGATTGAGATGTCCTGTAGGGTTGCGGTGTCCCTGCGAGGTTGAGGATCCCCTGTAGGATTGGGGTGTGCTGTAGGGTTGGGGTGTCCCTGTGTGGTTGGGATGTCCCGGATGATTGGGGTGACCCTGTGTGATTGAGGAGCCCTGGGTACTGCAGCACAAGGGACACAGGGGGGGGGGAGGTGACCCCACCACCACAGCTCCATCCACGAGGCCACAGTGCTGAGGACCATTTCCCACCCCACAGGGCCCTGTTCTCTCAGCCTGCTGGAAAATGTGCTGCAGTGCCCTTAAAGTGGGTTAAAAGGCTCTTGGTCATTATTTTTTAAACTCACCCACGCTTGGAGCCCAAGGATGCAAGAGGAGAAACAGAAAGCAGAGGAGAAAACTTAACCCTGCTTCCACCCCCAGCCAGGATGCTCACGGGGAGGGCACTCTGCACACTTATACATTATATATATGTACATGGCTCTATCTATAGGCAGACCCCACGTCCCCATCCCTGTCCCCACTGCTGTGTTCCCAGGGATGGCACCGCTGCCCCCAGCCCTCATCACTCGGTGGCATCGCTGTACCTTCGGGGAAATAAAAGAGAGCCAAGAGCTTCCAGCGCTGCTTCCATTCCCCAGAGCTGAAAACGAGAGGGGATGCTTTGGGGGGGAGGGAAGGAAGGGGGGGATGGGGAGGGTCTGTGCCCCCCCAGGGCTGCCGTATGGGGGGGATCTGAGCGCACGGTGGCACCGACGGGTCCCTCTGTGCTCATTATTGCAGCGCAGCACCCAGCCCCGGCCCGAGTAATCTAAATGCAAATGAGGATTTAGCGCAGAAGCGAATGGAAACGGGCGCCGGAGCCCGCACTGAACGAGACGTTGGGTTTTTTTGTTTTTTTTCCAAGCCTTTATCGCTTTCTGTCACCTCAGTGGGCTCAGAGGTGGGGAGCAGCAGAGCCCGGCGGTCCCGCAGCCCTATGGGGGGGGATCGGGGGGTGCGGAGGTGTTGATGGAGGAGCAGAAGCAGAAGGGATGCAGCGATGCCACAGCCCTGAACGGTGCTTCCCCACGTGCACCCAGAAGGCAATTCCAGAGAACAGCATCTGCAACCTGAGGAGACGTTTGCTATTAAAAAGCTTCCTTTTTTTTTTTCTTTTCTTTTTTTTTTTTTTGCTGTTTTGTTAATTAATCCATTAAATAACGAGCCCTCATGCAGCACACTTGACTCCAACGTGTGTGATTGATGACGCGGCCGCTGGGTTCTTTGTCTGCAGCAATGCCATAATTGCATTATTACGCACGTGGCCATGACTTCGTGGTGCGGATGCAGAGCTCTCCCACCCCCCGCAGCAGCCCAGGATGCATTCCGGCTCTCAGAGACACTCCTGGCTTCACTTAGAAACCCAAATCGTCGTGAATAATGACTGAGGCTTTCCATTTCGTCTCCCTCTCTTTTCCCAGCTGCAAACCCCGCACAGCCCCAGCGAACGATGGCACAGCCGTGTGCTGGGTGTGGTGGCTGCATTCTCCCCGCTGATGCCATGCAGAGGGCTCAGGGAGGCGCTGCTGGCTGTGCACCTTCTGCTAAAACCCCTCGGTGCAATGGATGCACGTTTTGCTTTTGGATGCAAGCCCCAGCCGTGCACCAAACCCAGACCCCATGTCCACTATGGGGATGGAGAAAGGCTCACCCCCCTCTATCCTACCCAGTGCCCAAATTCCTCCTCCTTCACCCCCCCACACAGCAAAGCCACGTTAATGAGACGTTTCCCTTTCCTCAGTTGTGCTGTTTTCCTTCACCCTCCCCATCCTCGGAGGCACATCCTTCCCCAAATCCCACACGGCATCCCATTGAAGTGTCTCTCCTGCTCCCAAGACAATGCGAGTTGATTCATCGCTGCTGATAAATTTAAACCCTTTTGTTTGTGCCATTGTTCTCCCCATCCGTGTTTTCCTCTCTTTCTCAATAAAGCCCCCTCACTCTGATGAGCTCAGGCTCCTCGCTGGCTGGGGGACGTTCCCTGCCAGGAACAGGATGGGAAATGCTGGGTTTGTTCCCAAATGACTGCAGCAGCTCTGGACTTGGGGACCACGTAGGGCAGTGGCACCAGCCCAGTGCTGCATGTGCTGCAGTTTGGCCCCAAACAGGGGCTTGGGGTGTCCAAGATGCCGAGCTCAAAGCCCTCACCTTTCATCTTTCCTAAGAACATTTGCCAACTTGTCAAGATGCAGCACCTTCACAGGGCATTATCCTCTCTGGGAGGCATTCACACCACCAAGGAATGCATCAGGAATCCAAACCCAGGCTTATTGGTGACTTAACCCAACCCAACCCCATCCCAATCCCCAAACCAAATCCCATACAACCCCATTCCATCCCAACCCCAACCCAAATCCCACCAGACCCCATTCCAATCCCAATCTCAACCCCAACCTCCTCCCATCCCAACTCAAATTCCATTCAACCGCATCCCAATCCCACCCCCAACCCAAATCCCATCTGATCCCATCCCAACAACCCATCCAGACTCCATGCCATCCCTACCCTAAATCCCATCCAAACCCACCCCAATCTCACCCCTAACCCATCCCCGACCTAAATCCCATCCAAACTCAATCCCAACTCCAATCTCATCCCATCGAACCCAAATCCATTCAACCCAATCTCAATCTGAACCCAAACCCATCCCAATCTCCAATGTAAATCTCATTCCATCCCATCCCAATCCCATTTGATCCCATCCCAATTCCAACCCCAACCCATCCAGACTCCATTGCATCCCCACCCAAAATCCCATCCAAACTCAATCCCAACCCCTATCTCATCCCATTGAACTGAAATCCCATTCAATCTCATTTCAATCCCAACCCCAAACCCATCCCAATCTCCAACCTAAATCTCATTCCATCCCATCCCAATCCTAACTCAAATCCCATTCAATCCCATCTGATCCCATCCCAATTCCGACCCCAACCCACCCAGACTCCATCCCATCTCCAACCTAAATCCCATCCAAACTCAATCCCAACCCCAACCTCATCCCATCGAACCAAAATCCCATTCAATCTCATTTCAATCCCAACCCCAACCTCATCCCATTGAACCAAAATCCCAATTCAATCTCATTTCAATCCCAACCCCAACCTCATCCCATCGAACCAAAATCCCATTCAATCTCATTTCAATCCCAACCCCAACCTCATCCCATCGAACCAAAATCCCAATTCAATCTCAATTCAATCCCAACCCCAAACCCATCCCAATCTCCAACCTAAATCTCATCCCATCTCACCCCAATCCCAATTCAAATCCCATCTGACCTAATTCCAACCCCAATCCCATCCCAACCCCATCAGACTGGAGCTGCATCCTTCCACCCCTGCTTCCACGCACCCTCCTTCCCAGCACAGCCCCGGAGGATCCCCACGTCTCCCTCGATTACATCCCTCCACATCTCTGAGCTATTAATAGGGGCAGTGAGGTGACGCAGGCAGACGCACATGGGAAGGAGCCACCCCAGCCCTGTGTCACAGCAGCATTGGCGGGCGCAGAGAAGGGCTGCAAAGCATAAAGGGGGAGGGGGGGGGGGGGGGGGGGTTGCTATTTTTGTTGGAAGGGGTATAAAAATAACAGTGCTTTTCACCCACCAGGTCGTGCTGGGTGATGGAGGAGCACTAAATGGAGGGTGATGGTCCCCAGGAGCAGTGTTAGGTTGGGGTGAGCGCCGCTGGCTCAGCCTGCTGATGGTGATTTGCAGGGAATGGGCTCCTTGCAGGGCAATGAGGGATGATGCGTGGGTCCAGACACAAACCTGCTCTGTGGTGGTGGGAGAGGAGGAGCAGAGCTTCGTGCTCAGCCCCTAATTGCACCTCCAAGCTCATCCCTCCCAGCCCAAAACGTGCAGAGCAAAAGGCCATGGGCTGCGAGCCCCCCACAGCATCCCACCGAACTCCCACCCCCAGCTGGAGCCTCATTAAGGAACCTGCTCCCTAACTTAATTAACACCAAACAGACACCAGAGGTTGGGGCCACGCCACGATGCAACCCATCAGCTTCGACACTCAGCTCCAGCCTCTACCAGGATCCATTCAGCCCCAGCTCCCTGTGGTGTCAGGGACAGCGCGGGGTGAGCAGGACCCCATGGGGACCCTTCCCCTCCTCACTGCCATCCCCAGCGCTCCTCCCACTGCTGCCATCCTGCGGCCGAATCCCACAGCTGCACACATGAGCTGCGTGCAGCACCGTGTGAGGTGGCACTGCCCCCCACAGCACCCTGCCCTGCTCAACACAGAGGGAAACCCAGCACTTATCAAAACTCAATTTATTCCAAACGTTTAGAGATTTTTTTTTTTACCCCCCCCCCTTCCCCTCCCTCTTCCTCAATCAACCAAAATACTTTACATTTTCTTTAAAAAAATTCAACGTTAGCCACTGTACAGCTCCCAGGCTCCTGACCAGCCCCAAGCACACACAGCTTCCCTCCCCCTATTGCTATAACTTAATGTATAAAATCCATCCTCGCGGTGCCTCCCTTCCTAATGCAGGGAAGGCAACACGGAAACAGAAGACGGGGCACCTGAGAAGGCTCTGGGAGCCCTCTGCCTTCCCCCACTGTGGTTTGGGAGACAGCAGAGCTGGGAAGCAGCTCCCCAATGTGGGGCTGGTGGCAGGAGGAGACGCCCGTGGGCCCCGCGATCCCACTGCGCCCCAACGGAGTGATCAGCTCCGTGCCTTGTCCTGGACCAGCAGGACTGTGTGTTGGCCTCCGCTGGACACAGCCAGGACCAGACGGTTCTCCAGCTGTTTCCCTGTCATCTCCACGGGGCTCCAGACATCCTCCTCTTCGCCAGTTCCCAGCTGGTGGTTGGTGCCCATTCCCCACGCGAATGCCCGTCCTGCAAAGGAGGTGATTGGGCTCTGGGTAAAAACAGCATCTGGAGCTGGGGAAAGGGGGTAACCAAAGGGTTCCAGAGGGGCAGGCAGGGGGGGACAGGAGGGAGGAGGCATTTGGGCCTCTCACAGAGCAGTATTTCATTGCATGGACTGCCTTAAAGCCAGCACTTCGCCCCCAAGGAGCAATGCCAACGCACCAACGTGCTGCCTGTTCTCACGCCACAACAAATCCTTCCTGCAGCTGCAGATGCTGCATACAGCCCACCAAGAGCTCCCACAGCAGCAAGTTCACAGCTCAGTTCTCTGACCAGCCCCACTGGGTCAGCACGCTGTGACAAACCCCGCTGTCAAGTGCCCACAAAAACACGTGAGCAGCTGCTGCCCTTGGGCTGGGTGCTACCTGGGGGCTGCAGGAATGGGCTGAGTCCCAACCCAGTGTGTGATGGAGCTCTGGGAAGGGATGGGCTGGGCGGGGAGGGGTGAGGAAAGGGTACAGGGCAGCTCCTGAGCCCCCCATGGCAGGGAGGCCCCAGCACTCACCATCACTGCTGACAGCGTAGCCGACCGATGCGCCACACGCGACAGAAGAGATGCTGGGGAGGTCTGGGATGACAGTGGGTGTGCTCTTCTCTTCTGCCCCTTCCCCGAGGCCCAGCCGGCCGTACTCAGCCCTGCCCAGGCTGTAAGCTTTACCTAGGGCACAACAGAGAGCAGAGAGGTGAAGTGAGGAGGGCAGAGAACACAGGAAGCTGGAGCCAGACCCTTCCTGCCCCAGGTCTGACCCTGGAGGAGCTGCGAGCATCACTCCTCCCTCCCACATCCCTCAGCAAACCCTCGATCCAACCCCGGGCTCCCCAGTGGGATACAGGACTCTAGGAGGGGGGTTTCTGTCATCATCCCTGCTTTTTGTTTCAAATCTGAGCCACCTTTTCAACAAGAGTACATTTCTGCAAAAGCCAAACAGCCCCTCCAACAGCTCACCCACAGACAACCACCACGCTGCCTCGGACACGAAGGACTCAGCACGTTTCAGCATTTCACCTTCACCCCAACATCTCCCCAAAGGGATTGGGATCCCCGGGAGCCCTGCTCTGCTTGGCAGCCCCTCCATCCCACTGGTGCTCACCCTCTGAGTCCACGCAGACGGTGTGGTGCTGCCCACCAGAGAACCCGACCCAGGACTTGGTGGAGTTCTTGAAGGATGTCAGGTTCTGCGGGGAGAAGCAGGGCTCGGTGCCCTGGGTCCCTGCAGGGCGAGATGCACAAAGCCCAGCACATCAGGCACCAGCACTGAGCCATCCTCACAGGGCTGACCCCACTGATGCAGCCCAGCCCAGCCCAGCCCTGCTTCCCCAGTCCCAGTTAGCAAATTTCTCCTCACATCCACCAGCTGAAGGGGTTGGGAACTAAACCCTAAGTGTAATTTCCAGCTCCCACACGTCCTGCAATGGGCACTGGGTGTGCAATGTGGGCTCAGGGCATTTTGGAACCCCAGCAAAGGCAGGAGATCTGCAGGGATGCAAACAAAACTCACCCAGCTGGTGGTAGTTGGAGAGGCCGAAGCCATAGATGTGTCCTTCCCGTGTGATGGCAAAGGTGAAATAAGCACCACAGAAAGCATCCTGGAAGCGCATCTTGCCTTTGCCTCTGACAGGGACACGCTGGGGGACCAGCAGGCGCTCTGGGGACAAGAAACAAAGCATCATATGAGAGCTTATGATTTACAACCTTTTCCTCTCCTCTCAGTTGCAAATCATTGAATTTAAGCAACCGATTTGCAAACAAGCCCTCGAGTAGCCAAGGAAGAGACAGAGTGCCTCTGCTCCTCAGCAAAGCTCTGCACAGAGCCCAAGGACACAGCCTGCTCGCCACAGCCCCCAATGTTTCTGAGCACCAAAGCCACTCACGCAGCCCCTTGCGTCCTCCTCTGTTGGAAAAGAGTGCTGGCACCCTGCCCAGCTGGCCCTGCTCGCCACAGCCACACGTGAACAGGTCGCCATCCACCGTCAGCATCACCAAATGGTCGTTCCCTGCAAAGAGACACTGGAGGTGAGAGCAGCAGTCACCCTCCAGATCTCACCTTGAAGCCCTATCCAAGCTTTCCAGGATTCTGTGACCTTTGGCAGCTTTAGGATCGTTTGACACACCTAAGATCTCTTCTTGGCAGAGGTTCCCCATTGGAAAGTTTCAGTGCATGGTTCAGAGGCACAGGAGCCCCCCAACCTCACCTGGATCCTGGACAAACTCCCTGGCTGCTCTGCTTGGCTTCCCCAGATCTAGAGAGGGCGAGTGCCCTGACCCTGTGGAGTGACAGGGCACTGCAAAGTGTTTTCAACCGACTGTTAAGCTAAACTGTAGAATAACTCTTAACTGTCAAACATGTTAATATTTGACCCAATCTGAGTTTAAACCACCCCTAAGGCTAGAAGACACAGCGAAGCCCATCCTTGCACCCAGCTCAGTGCAGCTAAAAGAGGAAATAGGAAAGGAACTCACTGGACCTTCACCCCTTGCCCAAGGCTGAACAACCTGCCCTGCGAGCAGCCTTTGCTGACCTGAGACAATTTTAACAACGGGTACATTGAGCTGAAGCAGCGCAGGAACGGTGCTCTTCTTCATGGGCTCCAGCAGCCCGATCACCCCGTTGTTATCCTGGATGGAGAGACGGGTGCACAGAAATGAGTCACTGACGCCACCCAGCAACCACCAGCAGAGCTTCCAGTGATTTTCCAAACAGCCAACGCACCCGGAAAGAACCCCAGATGAAAACCCTGCCGTCATCCGTCAGCGCGGCCGTGTGGCTGTCCCCTGCAGAGACCTGCACCACCTTCTCCTGCAGCTCCACGGGTCCTGGGGTGCACTCTGACCCTTCCTCCGAGGTGTCGCGCCCGAGGGCGCCTTCGTCATTGCAGCCAAAGGTGTAGATCTGTAAAGAGAGAGCTGTGGTTAGGATGAGACGCAGAAGCTCCACGGGATGCATGTGAAGCCACGGGACAGGGATCCACCAGGCTGAGTTATCCCTCATCACCCCAAAAATCCCGAGGTCCAAAGAGGAGCCGGGGGGGGACAGACTGCAGCCCCAGCCACACTTGTGCAGAGCGAGGCGTGATTCAAACCCTGCTTCGGGACACAGCCAGGCTCCCTGTGCTTGCAGGGGGAGCTCAGCCCCCCACCCAGCCCCCCAGCAGCCCCCGAAGCGCACTCACCTTGCCCGTCTCGCTGAGGCACACGGTGTGCATCCCTCCTGCCTCCACCTGCACCATCAGCTCCGGCAGCTGCACCAGGGCCGGCTTCTTCCTCTCCATCACATCCTGCCCCAGGCCCAGCTGTCCCACGTCCCCCTGGCCCAACACGAGCACCAGGCCGGGCTGCGTGCGGTGCGACGGGTGGCTGACTGAGGGCAGAAAGGACGGATGGAGCAGGAGGGAAAAGCACAGGGAATTATAAACCTACCCAAGGAGTTCTCTTACTTTTAAGTTTCTTCCTTTCGGGAGACTGCTCCAACACGGGGCTTTTCTTGGCAGCACGTTTTCCAGACATGTCGGTTGGGATCTGAGCAATGAAAGCTGCTCTGTTCGGGCTTTGCCCAGCCGGCAGAGTGCAGCTGTTGGTTGGCCTTCCTGGAAACAACCCCTGCGTGCCCCCTCCGCTGCAGTCCGGCTCCCGCTGACGGCACTGCCTTAGCACTCACACACCGACCCGTCCTCCCGCTTTGAGAAAACACAGATCGCCTTTTCACATTCGATCCCATTGCACTCGTGCGGAAATGAACCCCCTGCACTTCTTTGCACCGCGGAAAAGCTGCAGAGCCAGGCTGCGCCCCAAGCTTTGGGACTTCGAGTGCTCTGCCCAAAGCCCCCCCAGCACGCAGCGGCATCCCGCCCGGCCCCGCTGCGCGGCTCGGGAGGTGGAACGGCCCCGGGAGGTGGAACGGCCCCGGGAGGTGGAACGGCCCCCGGTGCGCCGCGCATCCCGTCAACCACGCCGCCCCCATCACGCGGGTTGGGGAAGGGGCCGGGGGGGCTGCGCGGCTTTTTGCTGCCAACCACGCAGCGCCCACACGGCAGGAAGGACCGAGGGCTCCGCTCCCAGCCCAGCAACACGCGCGGAGCCGCGGATTCGAACTTCCCGCTCGCCCTCCCCCCACCCCAAACTCCGCCGCTTCCCCTCCCCACGTGGGGCAGCGCAGGCCCGGCCTTTCCCGAACGCGAGCGGACGGAGCGAGCGGCTCCGGGAGCGGCACGGCCACGCGGCGCCATCCCCCACCCCCACCCTATTCGACCCCCTCCTGCAGCCCCGCTCCCCCGACCCCCCGCCCCGTAGCCGCGCACCCACCTCCGCCGCTCCGCCGCCGCCGCTCCCGGCCCCGCGCTCCCCGCCCGGAGCATGCGCCGGGGCACGGCGGGCGTCACAGCGCCCCCTGGCGGCCGCGGAGGTCCGGGACCGCCTGCGCAGGGCACGGGAGGCTCCGTCCCTCCCATCCCGGGCCGATCGTCGCAGGAGGAGCCTAAAAATCCCCCAACACCCCGCGCTAAGACGGTCAACGTCCGTACGGCGATTCTCCCGGCTCTCACCTGATCGCGCTTTTCCCCCCGGAACGATCCGAAGAACCGCAGCGCACCGCTCCCCATCCTCCCCCACCCCAACAGCAAGAAGCCCTCGAGTTCTTTCTCCCCACCCTCGGCCATTCTCCCCTCGTTTCGCTCACCCCAAGCCCACCGCGTCCCCCTTTCCCAGCACCACAGCCGGGTGCTGCTCCCCGAACCACGCGGGGAAGCGATCCCACCAAGCAGAGCTACTTACAGTCCGGTTCCGAACGTTCAAAGGTCCAATAAAAGCAGCCAGCGGGTATAAAAGCAGCCGTTAAGTCCTTCGCTTAACAGAGGGAAACAACGCCTAAGTACGCTTACCAGGAATTACAACTTCTATCCCTAAAATAGGTCTAACGCTCCCCTCCCACCGCCAATGACCCGCTCAGCTCTACAGCAGCAAGCGGTTCTGGTTGCAGAGGGCACAGAACCGCTGCTTACCGGTACCAGAACACGTGGAGCATAAGGACAGCAGGGCTGTGAGCTCCCTCTGCCAGCACCAAAGAGGGGTGGGCAACCCAACCACACAAGAGCCTCGAAATTTGAGAGGTTTTGTTGGTTTCTTGAGCTTCAGAGGATGACCCAGCAGCTCGCAGTCACACCACAGAAAATAACCACACAGCAGCGTTTCAAAGTCATTTATTTGTCAGGCACTGATGCAGATACATCTCAGAACACTCGCAGAAGAAATTCAGACCTCCCCAAATGGACACGCAGCACCTGCTGTGCCCATCTTACATAGCACGTTCCCACTGCAGCCCTCCTCCCCCAGCACCGGTTCTTCCTCAGCAGCTGCCCCTGCTTCTCAGCCTCCTGGTTGGGTGGAGGAGCACACGGTGCTGCTCAAAAATCTGCTTCTCCCAACCGGTTTAACGAGGCACCCACCGAGCCCAGCGGCTCCCGTATGCTCTCATCACAAGGGCTCAAAACCCGCTGTGTTGGACCACGCAAACCCCAGGTGCAACAAGGGCCACCTCTGTACCAGCACTGCTTGGAGTGGGGGCAAGGAGCAGCGTGAAGCACGTGGTCTGAGAGCACCCCAACAGCCCCTCCCACACCGCTCCCAACTGCGCAGACCAGGTTGGATCGCACACTTCAGACATTCGGTTTTTTTTGCCACCACTCACACCGCTGTGCTCACTACATACTCACCGTCACGGCAGACAGAGCTGCTGACATTCAACTACAAACCTTCAGCGTCTGCAACAACAAAAGCATCAAGCAAACTTAATTACTTCACGGATTTTACTCCTTTTTTTGCGTGGCAGGAAACATACGATCCGTTCTGCTATCCCATTAGAGATGTGCTCATCAATTACAGCACAGCCACGTGCTCCCAGTGCACGCCCACCATCCCCCCCACCCCTGCACAGCACCCATATCCCAGCACTACACTCCATTCAGAGCACACAGCGCTGTGGGGCTGACCCACAACCTCAACAGCGGCTATCTTTAATCCTATCAGCACAGGAGGAACTCTACAGACCCCAAACCCGTTCGGCAAGGATGTGTTTCCTGCATGGTTTATCTCCTCTGTCACTGCCCGAGGGCTCAGAGAAGCAGTAGGAATATGCAGGCTGCAGGCACGAGGCCCGGCTTGTTCTCCAACGATGTGGAAGGGGAATATACGTCTCAGGCCCGAAGGCCTACGCTCCCGTGCGCCACACGGACAGAGCCGAGAGAGAGCTACTTCTCCGGGTGTCCTCGTTGGGTCATGGCCATATGGCGCCTCCTCCCCCCTCCGGCCCCATTCCCCTGCAGATAAACGGAGCGCAGCGATACTCACAGCGGCAGCGGGCGGGGTTGGGCCGCGGGGCAGCACGACAGGCCTGGGGGAGAGGAGAAATGCTTGTGAGGGCCGGCGGGGCCTGGAGCGCGGGCCCCCAGCAACCCTTATAGCCACCACAGTACACACAGGTAGAAACTAAAGCAGAAAATACGAACAATAAAAGCAAAGCCATAACAGGCCGCGCCCTGCCCTCCTTCCCACTACTGCCTACCTGCTCACGCCGCCGCTCACCGCCGAAAGAGAGCGAGCGCTGCTCCGCGCCGGTATTTATAGAACCAGTGGGGGCGGAGCCTGATCGCGCAGGCGCAATGAGCAGAACGCAGCGGGCCGTGTGCAAAGCGGCACGGCGGAAGGGAGCGGGGCGGATTACGCGTGCGCAGTGCGAAAGCGGGAACGGCGGGCGCGCATGCGCAGTAGGAAGGCGGGAACGGCGGGCTCCTCCGTGAGGGGCGGTAGCGTTCCTGAGGCAGCCCCACACGCGTACACAAAGAAAGTCATCCGAAACGCAACCGGGGCAGCAGTTTAAAAAAAATATATAAAAAATAAAAAAAAAATCCTAAAATACTTTTATTCAATAATTAAAATCTGTTGAGGAGACAGATATACAACGCAAATGATTGTAGGCTACAGCCGTGCTGTATGTGGGGAAGCTGTGAGGGCTCAGCAGGGGCAGAGCCAGGCCAGGCCTTCCCCTCCCCACAGCCCTGCAGTGCTGCGATCCTCCCTTCATGCTCAGTGCCATCATGTTTGTTTTGTGCACGATAACAACTATTTTTAAGGTCACTTTTCAAACCTCCCGCCCACACAGTGATATCATCAAGTTTCCAGTAGGTTTTGCTGTAAAAAATGAGACAAGGCAAGTTCAACCCTGATTTGGGAGAGTAAAAAAGAAACATCTGAGAGGAAGCAGCAATAAAAAGCACTGGCTGCTATCACAGCTTCCCCAAATTAAAGAGTTCGTAAAAGGCAACAGTCATTTCCTGCTTCTGTCGTTTGTTAAATGAGCACAATTATCTCAGTACGATCCATCAGCATCACAGCGAGTGTGAGAGAGGAGGGAGGGAATGTTTTATGTCTTTGTGTTTTCATTTTGCTTGGGTTTGGGTTTTTTTTGTAGATTTTTTTGTGTTTTTTTACAAAAAAAAAAAAAAAAAAAAAAAAGGACGCAGCATATGTTAATATCTATACAATTCCCTTCCAGGACAACAAACCGTTGGTCAGTAGTGATTCAGGACATGAAAGATAATGACAGACGTAAGCAAAGCCAAAAAAAAAACGAGTCTGATGTCAGTCGTCTGCCAGGACAGCGCCTGCACACAGCAAATACACACACGTGTCTCCTAGCACATCTCCATTCCTCAGCTCTCCAGCACCAGAGCTGCTTTTTCTCCTCTTGGTAAGGAGGACACAAAGGGGTTGCTCCTAAAAGGAGTACGTGCAGCTGAGAGCTGGGCCTGGCACCACAGGAAGGGAGCTGGGGAAGGAACTGTTTGCCCATGTGTGCACGGTCTGGCAGGGATGCTGGAGCCAGAAGAGAGGCGTATTGCTGAGCTGCACGAGGTATAGTGTTCAGTTCCAGCCTGATGGCACTCGAGACGTGTTTGTTCCAGTGAAATGCTACATTCAGACAGGATCCCCCTTCCCTGGCTGAAAGCCCTTTTCTGGATTCGTTTTGAAGGCAAATCTTGGAAGAGTCGAGGTTCTGCCCTCGCTGTATTGCCTGGGAGAGGGATGCAGAGAACTTCCAGTCCTCTTGGGTCTCTTGTTCCCTCTTGGAAGATTATGGTCGGTGGTACCTAAAAGCCGAGTGAAAAAGCCAAGTGTCATCCTTGGAACTTGGGTTAAGCAGTTATTGAAGCATTACAGATCGCTGATAAGAATAAACTGGATGAGCTCTGAACTTTCAGCCCTCGGTGAAGCTGTTAACATCCAAAGTTTTCACCTCTGCCTTAGAAAGCTCTTGTGCTCTGCAAACGCAGCTCAGCCACGGGGGGCCACGATACACAGGTTACTTCTGTCTAGGGAATGTTGTTTTTCCTAGATAAGCAGGCAATATGGAGCCTAAAAGCAGGATCTCAGCATTCCGTGATCCTTGTGGAGGTACAGTGCACCCTGCTAGGGTTGATACTATAGGCACCATAATGGTATGTGCTCACTCACCGTGTGAACTGCTTGCTCTCCTCATGGACTTCCATTTCACAGCTCTTAAACTCATTTAGCTCCTTCCGGATGGCAGCCTGCATGAGAAGAGAGAGAGCTGTTATCTCCTGCTAGAGCATACCACCCTCTCTCACCATTTTAAGGGAGCTTTAGACATGGGAAGAAGGCACTGTGGCTCCAGCATTCCTGCTCTGGGCTGATATCATCTTTTGGTGGTAAAGTGAAGAGTAACAGCAGATTTTAAACATAAGCCTGAATCCCTCAGCATCTCTAAGTAGAGGAAGAAGCTCAGATTGCAGCAGCCACCCCCACCTTTCACAGTCACTTCACACCAGGCTGTTTAACCTGCCCCACCTCCTCCGCACCCAGGGCTGGGCAGTCCCACAAGAGGCCAGGGAAGGTGACAACAGGTATCTTCCCTGCCAGCTTGCCTTAGCCTGCTTCAGCCTGTGAGGAACCACACTCCTCCAACCAACACCCTGCACCCTGCATCCTCAGAAGCCAGTGCAGGGCAGACGTGCAGGTTCCATGTCCCCTTGGAGGGGACAGGAAGCAGGGCTGAGTCCAGCACACAAGGGCGAACGGGCACTGCTGGTAGTGGGTGGGGTGCCAGAGGTGGAAAGAACAAAGCAATTCACCTTGGCTCTCACCCTTTTGTTTGGGACATCAGATCTGACTCCCTGCCCCTCCCTGGGGCCAGGGCACTCCCTGTTACCTTGTCAGCAGGTGTAAGCTTTGTCCACGGCTTATCTGCTCTCCGGTCGTAGTCTTGAGCATCTGTTACTTCCACATACTCGTTGAACCTCAGGATCTTCCTGGCCTGCAGCTCTGCCACTGTAGGCCTTTGGCTAAGCTGAACACAAGAATGAAAGCAGTTTGTGCCTTGTCCCCAGAGCAGCTCAGGACCAGTCACTCCATGCACAGCAAAGAGCGGTTCCCTCACTGGTCCTGAACCACAGATACTGAGCTCCTACTGGCATTCATGGGAAGCTTTTCGCCAGCAATGAGTCACAGCAGAGTGTAACCTGGGCACCATAGCTAAAGCAGCCGTTGCTCTGCACAACTTCTCTCAAGCTGCTGTTACTTTGGAAATGGATTTGAGGAGCCTGATGTGAACATTGTAGCCACTGAATTATGGCTCTACAGGCAGGCCAGCATCCCTTTCAAGTGCCAGGTGCCAAGTTTAGTTCCCATCTAGCTTGTTACACTTGATACCAGCTCAAATCTGTCAGTGCCAAACCTGTTTGTGGTGCCAAGAGCTCTGACAACCCACATTCCAAAGTCACCGCGGTCAGAGGGCGCTGGGGACAATGACACAACAGCCCCGTGACTTCACCCACAGCCAGGCACCTCACGGCCACCGCCAACCCCCACAGCTCTGCCAGATGGCCATGGCAGCACGGCAGCCTGCAGTACCTTTCTGGTGAGCCTGCGTTTGATCTCTCGCTTCTCAGCCTGACGATCAGCTTCATTTTTCGCTGCCAAGTGGAAAAAACAAACAAACGTTTTTTTCCCCCCCCCTCTGTAAGCATCGCAAGCTTTGAGAAGTGCCTTCTGTCAATACCCTTCCTCACCAGCAGCCCACTGAATGACAGTGGTCCTGTGGGCCTTAACGCAGTGTGAATGAGTCATTCTCTCCAGCTTTCTGTGTATTTAAGATTAATGGCCATTCCCTCAAAACCACTTTGCAGATTACTCCTCCCCCAAGCTATTATAGTAATAGTTTTGAAGAGAAAAGCAGTGCAGATAAATATTTAAAACTTCCTGAACTAACATTTCCCTTTCCCCAATATGTTTATTTAAAACTTTTGCAGAACAAGGTATGGCCAAAAGAAACAGCGCTCACTGAACAATGAACTTTTTGGATCATGCAGGACAATGCTGTAATGTCTGGGCCACAAAGAGAAGTCTAGTCCAAACAAAAACTTTGCTGTGCAACTTCAGAGCAGTCTTAACCAAATTTGCACACCTTTCCCTGAGCTATCAGGCAGGGGATGGGCAGCCTTTCCATAATGTGGTGCTCTGAGCTGTACTGTGTGCTGTGCCTGCTACGGTCTGATTTTCACCAGTCAGTAAAAATCAGCAGAACTGCTTTACTACAGTGATATAACCAAAGCACAGGCCTCCATCGCTACGTTTCAAGCAGAATCCACGTAGACTTGGACTAAAATGTCAGATGAAAAACAAGGCAGCTTTTACTTCACTACTTAGAGCCACTAGAGAAGTGCTACTCACGCTGAAGTATGTTCCTCTGCTCCAGTTCTTCTGCTGTGGGCCTCTGACTCAGTCGCCTAAAGAAAAGCATGGCAAGAGCATCGTGTGTTATCTGCTCATCCATCAGCAGGGCACAAAGACCACAGCCTCTGCTCTCCTGCTCTCGGCTCTCCTCCCCTCCATTCCATCAGCAGCTCACCCACAAGCCCAAGCCAGGAAGGCACTACAACCTGTCAGAAGCTCATGGATAACTTCTAGTGCTGTCAAGCAGACAGGCTGGAATATCAACAGCCTGAGCATCAGCAGCCTCCAGCTGTTCACATCTTTATATGCCAACTGTATTTTACAGCAGTAATGCTTCTGTAGTCCTTGAGATTCTCCCCTCCCAAGACATTTAACATCTGTAAACAGCACTGTTAGGAGACATTGCTCAACTGCTCTGCTCCTGGAGAGACTTCCAGCCTTGGTAACTGAGGGGAAAGCAGTGCTGAGCCTCCAGCCCTGACCCAGAAGCCCTGCCCAACCACCTGCCATGCTGCAGCAGAGGCTGCTTGGACAAGCAGCAGCTTGTGCCCACGGTTCAGACACACCACCCTCCTCCATTCCTTGTACCTGATCAGGGTCGTCCCGATCTGCTGCCGAATTTCATTCCACTCCTCTTTGCTTTTCCGAGGGAAGACAATCTTTTCCTCCTGCACTGTGGTGGTGTTCCCCAGTTTTATTGCCAGCGTGTCTTTCCTCTTCACTTTGTTAGCCAGCGTGCCTGCGGGGAGGGAGAGGGATGGGATGGGACTGAAGACTGCAGTGCTTGAGAGCAGTGAAATGAGCCACTGGCAGTTGTGCTTCCCCTAGGGCTTGCTTTCCCAGCTCACTACAGCTCCCAGCTTGCTGGGTCTGATCACTACAGCAACAGCCAGCATCCCTGTGCCGTGCACCCTCCAGCTGAAGGGGTGGGACAGCACAGGCCACCTGCAGCTGGAGGGGGATCAGCAACCTGCAGCCAGAGGGGCAGCATCTTGTCAGATGAGCATCCAGGTTTGGCTGCCGTAGCCTTTGAAAAGGTAGGGGAGAGGACACGTGGTGCATCATGAAACCAAGAGCCAGCTGCTTTGAAGCGCTGTGTGAACTGCTCTTTGATACCGAGCTCAATACAGCCAGGCACAAGCTCAGCAGAGAAAAAAAAGGACAGCTGCAATGTCAAAGCCTTACTGTTATGGCTTTCATCTTCTTCCTCATCCTCCTCCTCATCTTTGTACAGGATGGGGCCTTCGGAGTCAGAGTCACTCATCCCTTCCTCTCCCTCCTGCTCCTCCGGCAGGACCTGGGGCACCAGCATTGGGATGACGGTGATGGACGGTACGTCCCCGATATACACACGTGGGCCTGAATTCTGCTCCTCTTCCTGGTCCTCCTCTTCCTCTTCCTCATCGTCTGGACTAACGAGAAGCACACTATTACATCTCTTTGCACACCCCACAGATGATGCCCTGTTGGCTCCACTCAGCCCACTGAAGGCAGGACGGTGAGGAGCCCAGGAACCTGAGCAGGAAGAGCAGCCCCAGCCTTGTGATCCCCCAGCATCCCCTCTCCTCAGAGCACAGAGTAAAAGACAGAGACACTGCAGAAAAACCCAGCCCTGAGACTTTCGAGTTCAACTCCGTTATAACACAGGACAGTCCTTCTCCCACTTCTGTTTTGCAAAAGGGAAGACTAAGCAGGCCACAAATGGATGAAATCCAGGATCTTGTTTTGTCTTAGCGCAATTAAAGCCAGCCCAGATCCCTGGCACCAGCCTACATTTGTACTCTGGAATACATTTCCCTTTGTGAGTGATGAAATTCCAGAATCAGGGTTAATTTCCTGAGAAGATGTATCAGGTTCCTAAGAGGCTGAAACGGATTCAGCCAACAGGCAAAATGGCTGCAGACAAAGCACCCAGCCCAGCACACGGTCTCTCACCATCACAGCCCTGCGGTGCCAGCACTGTGCCTTGCTGTGAACCACCACCACCACCACACACCACAGCTACTCACACTTTCAGCATCTCGATGGTGACCGGCAGGGACCTCGTCCTGCCCAGCGTGCCGTTGTCCTCCCCAAGGCCGTCGTTCTCAAAGAGCAGAGAGTGAGCTCTGTGCGAGCCTTCGGCAGGGGGGGTGACGGGCAGGGGACTGGCCAAGGCCTGCTGGATCCGGATGTGCAGAGGGATTTGGGGCAGACGGGGCAGCCCAGGAGGTTCACCAAAGCCTTGCTCTGCCGTCCGCTTCGACGCCTCCAGGGACCTGAAGTCTTTGGGAGGAGGGGGGGTCTCCTTGGGCAGGTCCAGGGAGCGTGGAGCATCCATGATAGGGGTGGAGTTGGGCAAGGGCATGCGTGGAGGTTCTGGAGGGATGTGTGTGGGCAGCGGTGGGGATGGTGAGGGCGGTGGGTACGTGGGTGCCATGTGCAGTGGGAGCAGTGAGGGACGGCTCGCTGTCACTGTCCAGTCACCTGGGGGCTTGGAGGGGAGGGCTGTCTCCGGTGGGTTGGTAGGCAGGAGGCCTCTCTTCGGTGGGAGAGGAGGGGAAGGCTTGGACAAGCCTGTGCCACTGTTTATTGCTTGAGAAAGTTCCGCTGAAAACAAAACAAAACAAAATACACAAAGGGTGTTTGCCAGATTCCCTTTGCTAGCATGGAACAAGCATAGCGAAGTGCACAGGTGCCAGAAATAAACAGATTGCAAGCCTCTACTGCAGCAAAGGTGAGACTTGGGAGAGCAGCCAGAATCAAGCAGGCTGGGAGAGGTCTGGGCATCCTGCTGCTTCGGGGAGAACAGCAGCAGCCCTCCAGTGACAGCAGATGGAGCTCGACCTGATCCAGCTCTGCCTCAGCCAAGGTATGCAAAGCACTTTGTGGCTGTATTCACAGTTCTGTTTGCAAAGGGATCAGAGACAACCATGGCAACCCAGACTCCAGCTGTATTAACAACTCCCTCGCACATTCAACAGCTTTGGGGAAATCTCACCTGAAGGCAAAAGTCAGCAGAACTGAAGGCAGCAAGATGCTCTCCACCTTTCCCCTCACCTGCCAGCCCCAGCCCACGGACACCGTGCCACCTGCAGGTGATGGTCACAGAGTGGTGGCCCTAAGCAGGAGCTGGAGGAGCCTGCAGCCCCCGGCACCACGAGAGGGTGCTGTGAGCAGGGAGAGCTGCGCTGAGATAAGGCTGCATAGCTGCAGAGAGGTGAGCACATTTTTGGGATGTTTTGCATTTTTAGACTTCCCTTTTGTAGATTAAGAGTCAGATTGTGCAAAACACCGAGTGCCCTCAGCTCCCATCAGCCTCAGCCCAGAGAGTTTCAGGATCCTCTCAGCAGTGCTCCAAGCTGGTGGGACCAGGCTCGAGTCACTCTTAGGAAAGGGCAGACAGATTTTGAAAGGGACCGGGTGGTTGGCAGAAGGAAGAGGAGATGGAGAAGGGTCAGGTGCCACTCAAAGCATGCCCTCCATGAGAAGAGCCCCCTGTACGGCACAGCTGCTGCCCCAGCCCTCAGCCTTGCTTTCAGCTCCTGCATGCCTGGAGTCAGAGCGTGCATCAGAGACCGGCAGAGAGCTCACAAAGCCAATTCCACTGCTGCTGTTTATCCACAGCAACATAACAAGGCTTACACAGCAGTGACAGCACGCATGCTGCAGTTACAGCCCATCATGCAGGGAATGCGCAGCCCTGCAGAGAGAAGCAAAACCTCTCTGCATCTGCATTTGCACCCAGGCAACACTGCAGGTCCAGCTGCTCCCCTCCACATCCCTGCACCCAGTGTGTGGGAGAGGGCTGGGGCCGAGCACAGGTTTGACAGACTGCTGTCTTCAGCCACGTTTTTTGTACCACAAGTACCTCCTGCAATTAGCATCGGGGCATTTCAAATACCACCTCTGATGTGTGCAAGCAGCTTAAAGAAAACAAGAAAGTATTTCATCAAGCGCTCAGGCATGGTCAGACTAATCAAGCTGGTCTGGCATACGGGAGTGTTTAATACCATAGCAAAGTTGCTTGCAAAACCTGCTAGAGCAAGAAGCCCCAAACAGAACGGAGGGATGCAGCCCGTGCTCCAAGCAGTGGCTCAGGCTGCTTCACACAGTGTAGGCTCCCAGCACTGCCTCCCCAACCACACCTGGGTAACGCCTCCAGTTTCTGTGATAACAATGCAGATGTGTCTCACTGATTGGCTCAGGAACCTCCCTCCTGACCTGCACTAACTGACCCAACCCAAAGGTCAGCAGGGCTGTGCCACACAGCAGCTTATCACATGGACTGAAGTTGTCTCATTTATCCCAGCAGTGCTGCACCTTTAAGGCCTATAAAGATCTTGAGCAGAGCAGGACCTCGCTCTGCTTTAAGAAGCTCTCCCCAGATCACCTCCTTGGAAAGCTGAAGAATTAAATATCTCAAAGTGTGAAGATTCAGCTCAAATTACACAAGAGCATTCACCCGTGGGACTGGTCATAGGACTCGTGACTAACATGGCAATATCCTGTACAGACCTCAGAGGAGGTGCCTGACTATAACCAGTAAGTTTGAACCACCCCTGCCAGCACCTGGCACACCAGCCATAGCACACACTGCTCAGCATGATGTGGATTTTTGTTTAATTGATGCTAAATGCATTGATTCTCATTGACTACAGCTCTGCACAGCAAAAATCTCACACGCCATCTACCACTCCCAGCTGTTCACAGATGAATCCCAGCTCTGAGTGAAGCATCAGCATTTAAAGACAGTCTTAAAACTCCTTGCACTACTGCAAAGCAGGCAGGGATTCCCTCCTGCAGGTAATGCTGGAGGAGTGCATGTCTGACACACTGGATGGCTTATGGCAGGTAATGACACTGTCCCAGCACACGTGTGCCTGGGCTAAAACATTTCAAGTGCAGGCTGGGCTTCTCTGGGGAAAAACTGCCCAACATTCACGATAAATCCACACCGTAATAAAGGAAGAGATTCTCAGAGGGAGAGCTTGAGAACGCCCACTGCAGCAGCTTTGGAGGTACTTACCTATCACGGAGCTGCTGTTCCTGTTGGTGGGTTTGGGTGGGGGGACAGGGGGCTGTTTGGCAGGGGCTGTGCTGGTTGTACTCGTAGGAGCAGTAGTGTTGGCACTGGTGAGAACAGGGGGCAGAGTCCTGGGGGCTGGGGAGGGGGCAGCTGTGGAAACAACTGTCTTTGCCACGGTGGGGGCTGCAGTGGAGGGGTCAGTTTTTGCAGTGCTGCTGGCAGGTGGGGGATCCTTTCCCTGCGGCTCATTTGCCTCCTGGGAAGTGGAGGGAGGTCTTTTGGGAGGAAGCAGAGGCTGGCGGAGCTGTGGCTCCTGAGGCGGCTCTGATTCAGAACCAGGATGGCTGCTGGACGAACCTGCAAAGAGATGCAGTATAAGAGACCAGAAGGCAGCGAAGGAGACGAAAAGAATCAGATAAGAGTTCAAAGCCAGCGCTATAAGAATCCCATTTTGCATGCAGCTGGTTTCTTACTGTGTCTTTTCTTCGGTTCCTCAACCAGAACAGACTTCCTAAGGCTGGAGGACCTCGTGGCCTCCTCTTCCTGGCTGTGCAGGTTACCGACCCCAGGACCACCAATGGGCACCGTGTGGCCATTCTTCAGTGCAGACGGATTCACCTTGTCTGGTTCTTCACCATCTGCGAGGGGTGGGAGGAGAGAAGCAAACGGAAAACATTCAGAAAGCGCAAGACAGAGGGGACACGGCTGAGGTGAGCTGCTATCGATCTGCACCACTTTCTCCCTGGATTCAGGAACAGCAGATCTTCAGTCTGCCTTCTGCAGAGGAGAGCACAGCAACGCCAACTGGAGCTTGAGCTGAGAGCTCTTTGTTTCATTAGCAGCAAGCAGAATAGTACAGTACTGTACCCCATCAAGCAGGGCTTTCTTCAGCAGCTCCTTAATCTCCCACCTTATTTAGAAAGAATGCTACCACACTTAAAAACCAATGGACTAGGAAGCTGCCATCACACCTCCAGCAGCTTCCACACCAACTCACCTCAGCAGAAATCACACATTCTGTGCTCCAATGCAAAATCCAGCACTAGCCAAGTCACACACTGCACATGAAACAACAGATGCTCACAGTGCCTTAACGTGTGTTGAACCACCTCTATTTTCCTTACAATTCCAACCCTGAATTCGGCACAAAGATCACGTTTTGCTCTATGCAAAACATCCCACATCCACTCTAATGGGGCAGTGCCTGTTCTGACTGTTGGGTGCCTGTCTGGGTGTTGTACTGAGGGATGGGGGTTAGTGAGGAAATATTTGTGGTAGGTGGACGATTGGATGGGATGATCTTGGAGGTCCTTTCCAACCTTGGAGCTTCTATGATTCTGTGACTAGTTTCCTTCTTAAAGTAAAAAGAACCTTGGCATTTTCAGCCTGCCATCTCTCAGACAATTACAGCTCAGCATTAAGTGCCTGCCAGGTGTCAGACCTACTATGTGCTATTCCAGCTTCGGACTGATTCCCCAGACCTCCTTCCCCACACCAGGGAGCTGAACACAAAGCACCAAGCTGAAAGCTCGCCAGGTTTTCTTTTCTGCAGCAAAACAGCATTGGTTCCTGCGAGGAGATGCAGAGCAGCTCTGCCCTGAAATGCAGGAAGCGCAGACAGCAGCAAGAGGGAGTTTCCTCCCCAGCCAGGGCTGAAACTCAAGAGATGAGCTGCAGCTTTTTATAGCAGTAATTGCCTCTGGCAAGCTGAAGCTTTCAGCAGAGGAGGCAGACCAGCACGATCTTGCTTCCCCTTAGTCATTCACACCTGGCATGCCCTTCTCAAGCAGAGCAGGGTGTTCCTGCTGCCCTCCTCACACCATTTCACCCCGCACTCCACTTCCATGGCCACCACCAGGCTCAGGAGCAGCAGCTCGGGTCTCCTCCCTAAAAGCTTCTGGATTTTTTGGCACTACCAACTTGCCTAAGAAAATTAACCAACCTTGTAAGAGCAGGTTTTGAAACTGCAAATAGAATAACCTACCCTCCATCATCTTAATGACTGCCCCGCTGTCTAAAAATCATGGAAGTGAGGGATTAAGATAATGAGCTTTCTAATCTAACCCTCCTGACAATATTGATTGCTCCCTCATACCTTGGGTTTATGCTTTATTCAGATTATAATCATCTTCTGTTTCTTAAGCCCGATCAGATGACTGAAAGCAGAAAGCAACCCCCCCCTGCAGCCACGCTTCTGTTACACCCTCACAGTTTGGAAGACCTCTCTTCTGCCACCACTGCTTGGAAGTTTGTTGCACAAAGCCTTTGATCTCTCTTCCAGTTTCACCCCATGACCTCACATGCTTTTGCACCACAGTGAATCCTTCCTGCAGCCCATCACTTACACCCTCGGGTTGCTGTGGGTGGCTTTTATTAGAGGGCAGCTGCAAGCAACCCTGTTAGTTTTAACTCCAGCATTCAGTAGCTTGGACTGAAAACCACTTTTTCACTTCCACTTTTGTATCTTCCTTAGAAGAACCCTAACATTTGCATTAGGTTAAGTCTGCAGCATGGCTTTCGAGGTAGCTATACACTGCTCTACTCCACAGGCCACGCTGCCACCCAAAGCAGTGCCCAACACCTCCCAGCACAGCCAGGTGAGCAGATCTGCTTGAAAAGGTCTCTTGACAGCATGGCCCCAACTCAGCCATCGAGGATGGCAGAAAGCAGGGAAGGCTCTGAAGGCAGGGAAAGCTTAGCTGTGATCAGCTGTAACACCATACCACGAAGGTTCCCATCTTCAGCCCCTGGAGGAAAACCAGGCAGCCTGAAGACATCAGATGGTTTCTTTTTCCAAACCCGGAGCCTTCAAACCTGAACTCTGAGGTTTGCCTCTCCTGCAATGGATGGAGTGCAGCTTGGAGCACGGTCAGAACAAACCAGAGAGGGTGAGCCCGTGGTGATGGGGGGCTTGGCAGGATGGGGCAGGGCGGCTGGAGCAGGACAGGCACGAGAGGACAGGATGGGGTGACACAAGGGACGGCCCTGCCCTCCCCACTGGCAGCAGGACAGGTGCTGCACTCCCTTGGGAACATCCTCCTAACTGAGCACACTGCCTTCCCTACCAGGACAGTCAGATGAGAGAGCATATTGAAAAGGGTAAGACAGACAGACAGGAACCACACCAGCAAAGATCCCTTAAATTCATCTCCCAGAAGGGCTGAAGAGTTTTCCCAGTGGAAGGTGAGCTACACAGAACACAGACAGGTGAGGATAAGTTTGTTTGCAGACTCACCCTGCTCAGGGTCTTCCAACAGAACCCCTCTTTTTACCAGCTCCTCTCTTGGCTTTCGCATCGAAATCTTTCGTTCTAAAACTGGTATTAAATTGGAAAAAAAAAAAAAAAAAGCACTCAGAAAACAGGGCAGGATAGAAGTTCAAGAAGATACGTTGGTTTTTTTTTTAAAGGATAGGTCCTGCAGAGGAAATAAAAGGGCTTCAGAATTCATTGTATGGTACAGATTAATGAGAGGGCGGAGGGACTGCGCGCTCAGGCCTGAGCAATCCCTCCCTCCCCACAGCAGCCTGGGGAGGTTCCTTCCAGGAAGGAATTTGTTTGTCTGAAACTGCAGCTCCATGGCAAGGTGTTCTGGAGAGATTGCAGGTGCCGGCCCACCACCGATTCCTGCTCTGCTTCTCACACGTGCCAGCCCTCAGGCCTCCCCTCACTAGCTGCAGGTCTCCCAGGTGGAAAAAGGGACCCTCCCACCCCCCCTTTACCTTCTGAAGTCTCTTTAAATTTATCACTGCTTTTCTTTTTCCTCCACTTCCAAGGTTTGAAGATCTTGCCGAAGCCTGAGAACTTGCTTTTCCTCTTGGTAGGAGGTGTGGTGTCACCCGATTCCAGCACGTCGACCCCCATACCCGCATCACTCGGGGGGTGATCCACCTCTTCAGCTGCAGGGAGAGGAGCACAGCAGTTACCCCAGTGCTGCACACAGCTGCTGCCAGCTCCCAGCCCTTGTGCACGGGGAAACGGCGCCGCACGCTCATGCAAAGAAGGTAGCGAGGTTCCATGCCTTCACATAACCATCAGCAATTGGCATTAGCTTGGGGAGACAAGGGGGGTTTCCCAAGTTAACGGCACAGGGGTGACTGAAAGGCAGCTTCCTACCAAACCAAGGACCCGTGTCAGTCAGCAGTGTGACAGCTTCGCCCGCGTTGCTTTGCTGCAGTTGCAAACCTGGTGCAAGACACGCTGAACAACACGAGCACCTTGAAGCCCACCTCTATCTGCACACAGGGAAGCTAGCAGCCCCGTTGCACCAGCTGCTGGTGTTGGACTGAGCCTCGCTGCTTTTTTCCTCTAGAAACACAGCCAGCATCGCTGGCCAAAAGCAACAGCTCCACAGGAAAGCAGCACAATGCAGCCTGCACTCCACCTATGGCGCTCGAGGTCTCTGGAGAGCACCACGAGAAGGACACACAGGCAGGAAGGGATGCACACAAAGGAAAAGCCCAACTCACTGCAGCAGAAAGCTCCTAAAGAAACAACCTGCGAGGCAGAACCAGAGCACAAACCCCTGTGCTGGTGGCTGTTCGTGGGGTGTTTGATGTACCGTAGGAGACTGCTTGCCATCAGCACAACCCAGAGCTGCCTGCAGCAGACATCACAGTGCACACAAGCAAAGCGAAGCCAGCTGGTGGCCTCAGTTTGCAGAGTGAGAACCCCACAGCTTCAGCACTGCAGAAGCACAATGCTCCATCCAGGAGCACTCGTGGTGTGCAGAACAGACTGGGACTGACTGCACTTGTGCATCTCGTTTCGGAGCCTTCCAGCCAAATGCTCTGCAGTTTGCAAGCCTTCTGGGATCACAAAAGCCCTTTCAGTCGGACTCAGGCAAAGCCTGCACGGAGTGCTGCAGAAAAGACAACACCCCCTGGGCCACACGGCGAGGTCAGCCAAGAATCCCTTCTCCCAGGGCTAAGAGATTGGGAAAGGAATTCTAGGGGAAAGCCATGCTGCACGCAGAACAAAGAGCTCAAAACGTATTGTTATATCACATAAATACCCACCATGGAGGTAGGCTCCAATGTAAAAAGGCAGCTCCCTGTCAGCACAGGGAAGAGCAGGCCAAGGACAGGAAAGAAATCAGGAAAGCCCCAGTGCTGACGTTTGCTGGAGCCCTACGTGCAGCTCTGCCCAATGTGGGATTCTGGGCCCTGGAGCAGACCCTATGCACACCATGCTCTGAGCACTGCTGAAATGAAGATGGGGAGCAGAGGAACAGCACAAGGAAAACCAGAGGGAATTTCAACACTGGGGATCCAGATCCTGTGTGAGTAGCACAGTATTGAACCAAACGACGGAGCAGAAGAGGAAATCCAGCCCAGGATGCAGGTTGGCAAGGAAAGGATCCACTGCTGTGCAGACTGGAGGGGAAAAACGACCTTCAGAGCCAACTGCGGCCATTTCAGACTCTACCTACAGCACTCAATGCTGCCCAGGTTCCTTTCCTCCAGCTCCACATTTCCCACAGCCGAGGGTGCCTGGGGGAGAACTTTTCCTTTTCTAATTTTTTCTCCCCTTTTATTACGTTGTTTTCTTTTTTCCCAATCAACCCCCTAACAGAACTCACTGAGAGGTGGTAAAAAACCAACGCCAGCCAACTTTTCCTCAAAGAAAGACGACCAACGTGATGCCTGAGCTGAGACTTAAGAGAGAATTGAGATGGAAAGCAGCACGCGTGATGTCAGCCCCAACCCAGCATGTCCTGCAGCTCTACCCTGCAATTTTTCTGCTGGGACAGAGGGTGGGAAGGAGGAAGGACACAAAAAACACACCCAAGAGGAACCGTCCAGATGCTCAGAGGCCCAAGTACCACCCAACAGGTTGCTGAGCCTACAGCCTGCGTCCCAAACCTCCCCAAAGTGCAGAAGACACAAATTCCTGCACCAGGAGCAGCTGAACAGAGGGGAAAAGCCCCCGAGTAAGATTAATCCCAAGGGGAGGAACCTGCTGCTGAATGCCATCTCAGGGTGGAGCTTCGTGCCAGGCGTGCAGGTGAATCCAACAGCCAGGTTTTGCTGTGATGTTCAGCACCGACATCCAGCGCAGCAGCTCTGCCTGCCATGCTGCCCCACCAGCCTGTGGGACTGCACTCAGAACCTGCTCCCAAACAACATGAAAACAGTGGGTTTTGGTGCTTTGTGCTCAGCTCTGTGCCTAACAGCAGCGGTGCAGGAGGAGCAGAGGGGCAGACACTGTGCCAGCGTAAGATCACAACCATTGTTTTCAGCATCCCCTTCACCCTGGGCACAATGAAGTCCAACACAGCGTGACCACCTTATGGCACCTCCAGCCCATGGGGTGACACTGATGCCCCCAAAACCACCCCCCTAAGTCTATATGGATGCATTCTGCCCCGTGCCATGGCCAGGCTGCTTCCAGGAGGACCCACAACCCACCATCCCTTCCACTCTTCCTTCTACCATCCCTTAATTACCACGCGGACACGGGCATTTAAAATAGCCTGTTATGATGCAATTATGAATTAACATTCGCTGCTAATTAGCAGGCAGATCAGCTGCTGTAGGTGTGCTTTTAGCGATCTGCGTTTTAAATACCCTCATTGTTCAGTGATTGCTCATGATAGTGCTCACACTGCCCTGGAAAAGGACTTTTGTGCCAACCACAGCCCATTTCCAGCTCAGATTTCCACCAAGGGATGTGGTGGGCCTGGCTGTGCTCAGCACCCAGGCTGAAGGAACCTGCCCCACTGCTGTCCCAGGCTGGTAAACCTGTTTTAAATTTCTTACAAAGGTTAAATGAGGTCTTGGAGGCCTGGGTGAAGCTGGCAGTCCTCATTAGAAGGTCAAGAGCTTTCCAATAAGCAGGTCTCAGTGTGTCCCCGTGCTGCAGAACGACCCACTTTAGCCATTCTGCAAAAGCTACAGGGAAATGCCCACTGCAGGAACACAGCCCTGGAGCTGGGGGAGCCCCCAGACACCCCCCCTCCTGCACAGGAAAACCTTGAAGTAAAGCCTGCTGCAGCAGTGCATCAGGCCCAGCACTGCCAGCGAGCGAGAGGAGGGGACTGTTCACTGCTTCCAGCCATTGGTGGTGCTGTGTGGGGCAGGCGTTGGGTTTGGGGGGCCACGGGGGTCCCTTCCAAGCTGGGGGAGCCTGTGGTTCCATGCCTGCCTCAGCCCATGCCTCAGGGAGCAGCAGGTGAAGGAGGCTGTGCCCTTGGGGCTGTGCCCTACCTCCCTATCCGAAAACAACCTGCACCTTCTCCCAGCAAAACAGACAGGTGAATGGGAGCTGTCCAAACAGCAGATCTATGTTAACCAAAATGCTGAGACTGAAGCAAGCTCAAGATCCATCACAAAATTGGCAGCTTTCTGCCTCTTCCTGCATCCCCGGGCCGTGCCGACAAGGAGGGATGCAGCTCTCCTCGGGCATGGAGGGGTCCAAGAGCTGCCAGCTGCCAACCCTCCCCTCTGCAAACTGCCACTCGTTTGTGCTCCACTCCTGCAATTAAAATGCCATCAGAGAAAAGCTCTCCTCCTGCTGCACCCCGAGCTAGGTGTGAGCTCTTGTGCAAGGCCGCCCTGCTGCAATGTTTTTCCTGTGTCAGCAGGAGCAGCTGGAGCCTCGCAGGTGGGCTGCAACACGTCATGGTCAGCAAGGGGCTGCGTGCCATCCGTTCCCAAAGCTGCTATCAGGCTCAGGACTGCGTCACCACTGAGGAGAGCGAAGCTTTTCCTCCTGCCATGGCACAGTCAGCTCTCATTGGCTCAGAGTGGCAGAGCTGTGATCTGCGGGGCAGTTGGAAGTACTGTGTTGTTCACAGCAAGCAGTGATGGGGCCAGCCTTGAACCTCTGCGTGATGGTTTGATGGCCTCACCGCCATCCCAGGCAGGAGGAGCTGCTGTGAGCAGGCAGAGCTGACCCTCAGCTTTCAAATCAAGCTCCAGAAGACACTTTGGTACAGTGCAGAGCCCAGCACAAGGCATGGCACCAACCTCTGGAAAGGGCTGCAGCTCGGAGGGAAGGTACCTGCAGCTCTGGTGGAAAGCATGAGAACAGTTACAATGAGAAGCAAGCTGTGCTGAAGGGCGGTCAGCACAGGGAGGGTCCTGGGGAGTTTTCAAACTGCTTCAATTTGGGCCACACAGCACCACGAGCAGCACAGGCAGGAAGGAGTTGGTGTTGTTTTCGGCTGGCACACCATGACACGAGCTGCAAATCACTTCAAGACCCGAACAAAGCACAGCTGAAGGATGGGAGGAAACCAAAGCATCCCTAAACAGATGCTGACAATTCATCCTGACAATTCATCCGACATTCCCAAACGACCCAGGGGGAAGCTGCTCATCTCACGAACAAAGTGGCACAATCCTCCTTCAAGGAGGAAGGGTTGGCAAGGCCTGGGACAGAGCTGCAGGATGAAGCTGTTAGGAGGAGGCTGAGAACACACTGCTTTCCTTCCCCAAACCCCTGCAGAGCCCCGAGCTGCTCTGCCCCCATCATCTCAGCACACATTTCTGATGGAAATACTGTTAAGGCTGAATATAAAGAAGCTCTTTGGGTAGACGTTGCTAGCTTCTGAGAGCAGCCTGAAAAGCTTTGTGTCCACTGCCTGAATGGCCCAGGGAAGAGGAGAACCCCGACCTTAAACCACTATAACTGCACTCACAGAGCAGCTTCAGGCAGCCCACGAGCAGAACCCCAACCCACAGTCCTACACCAGGAGAGCCCCTTCCCCCAGGAATCACCAATATCTGGTGCTTGGGGTGGGAGAAAGAGCAGATGGGGCTCCTGATGGCCCCCAGACCCAAGGGGATGCTGTTAATGGCTCCTGACGGTACGGAGGAGGCTGAAGTCCTATTTCTCCCTTCCACTCTCCCTCAGCACCACTTATTTTTAGCAGCTCTTGAACACGACCAGCCGG